ACAAGGGTGGAAACTTTTTCTATTGTTGTAGCTGTTTTTATTGTAAAAACAGTAACCACAAAAAAAAAAAAATTAAAAAAACAGTAACCACATGAGAGAGACCTGGGGACTTTTTTTCTATAACAAGCCACTGCTGTTGACCACAGAAGAGAAGGGGAAAAAAAAATCAATGGAAGGCCACACAGAAGTAAAAAGCAAGTTAATTGGGTTTGGTTTGTTTGCCTCTTGTTCATGTGTAAAACACATACACATTCAAAAAGACTGAACTTAACTCATTTTAAAATTAAGAACAGACAACATGGGCAGCACCTGTGACTCAGTGAGTAGGGCACCGGCCCCATATACCAAGCATGTCGGGTTCAAAACCGGCCCTGGCCAAACTGCAATAAAAAATAGCTGGGCGTTGTGGCAGGCGCTTGAAGTCCCAGCTACTCGGGAGGTTGAGGCAAGATAATCACCTAAGCCCAGGAGATGGAGGTTGCTGTGAGCTGTGATGCCACCCAAGCAAGACTGAGACCTCATCTCTAAAAATAGCAGGCGTTGTGGGGGGCACCTGTAGTCCTAGCTACTTGGGAGGCGAAGGCAAGAGAATCATTTAAGCCCAAGAATTTGAGGTTGCTGTGAACTAAGACACCATGGCACTCTATCAAGGGTGACAAAGTGAGATTCTGTCTCAAAAATAAATAAATAAATAAATACACTACTGCCTGGGCAGTGGTAGGTGCCTGTAGTCCCTGCTATTCAGGAGGTGAGGCAAGAGGATAACTCAAGCCCAAGAGTTCAAGGCCAGCCGGGGAAACATAGTTAGACCCTGTCTCTAATAATAATAATAATAAAGCTACAAAGCTGTATCATCAGCAAAAAGGATGAATGAGGGAGTGAAGGAAGGAGAAAGCTACAACAGGAGGAGAGAGAAGGAAATGGATAGAGGAGTGAGATATGAAAAATGGCTGGGAGATAGTAAGATTCAGAGACAGACACACGTGCCTAACCATACACAAAAGGGGGGAGCAGGGCGGCGCCCGTGGCTCAGTGCATAGGGCACTGGCCATATACACCCAGGGGCCTACTAAAACAACAATGACAACGGCAACAAAAATAGCCTGGCGTTGTGGCGAGGCCTGTAGTCCCAGCTACTTGGGAGGTTGAGGCATGAGAATCGCTTAAGCCCAAGCATTTGAGGTTGCTGTGAGCTGTGACACCACAGCACTCTATCCAGGGTGACAGCTTGAGACTCTGTCTCAAAAAAAAAAAGAGGGTGAACAACTAAGGATCCACAGAAACATCTGGGGCCTGACAAGTTAGCCAAAGTACAGTACTTAGACTTCAAAATATCATGTACCTTTTATCCTTGTGTTTGAATGGTTAATGTCATGGTAGACCACCATTCACAGCTCTTTAATTGCTCACTGAAACATTCTGAGGCTTAGCTCAGGTCATAGGACATACATAGGCTCCCAGCAAATGAGCTACGATTCAGTAAATCAGTCATCTCAAAGTATCTCCTCGGAAACGCTATTTCATAAAGCATACAAAGCACCAATGAAAGTCAGAGGAGAAAATGCTGCTTCCACTGAAAAAAAAATTCCATGGAAAACTTTTTTTTAGGTTTGCATTAAAAAAAAAAAAACTAGGACGTCAGCAGAACTGCTTTCTACCTCAGCATTCACCAGCATCACCACCAGCACACCTGACTCCCCACATGTTCAATTCTGCCTGCCCCAGTGGATCTAAGGCCTCAGTTGGTCCCAACACTAAGCAGCGTCCACCATACTCAGCAATCTAAGGGTCAACAGGAGAGATCCTGAGGAGATGCCAAGTTACCATCCACCTGCCTAAACCAAGCCTCTGCTCCCTTCACTCCAAGGCCTATACAAGTACCTGTTTCTGACAGAACCCTCCTTCTGAGCTCCATCCCTGTCTCCCCTGAGCTTGGTTTCTGTGGTTTTCTCTTCCCCACTTGAGAGACCCATAACCTCCCACCTCCTCTGGTCTTTTTCTCCAACCTCTCCCTTCTTCTGAGCCTATTTCCTCCTCTCTTCCCTCTACCCAATCTTAGAAACATTTCTCTCAGAAAAGGAGAGGGCTTAACAGATATCTGAACACAGACCTAGAATCAACCTGCCTGAGTTCCTGCCCCAACCCCACATTTTACTAAGAGACGTGTGGTCCTGTACAAACCTCCCAGCCCCTCAAATTCCTCAGTGAGGGGACTGAAGCTGGCTATCACAGAAGTCTCTTCCAAATTAGACATAACTAAACGTCCTCGCGTATAACCATAAATAAAACAATGAGTTACAAATCCACAGGGAGAGAGAATGAACTATAGAAATACCTTTCTTCAGCAGTCTCTCACCCCACCCTCATCCCCCACAGACTCCCTCGGAAGGTCTGTGCATTTCACTGTGGGCCATTCTAGCTCTGAATTATCTGCATACGGTAAAACCTCACAAATCACACTAATCAAGGAAAAGGTGAATGTGACTCCAACAGAAGCCTGAGTCCTAGAATGCTTCTTTCATGCCACTACTCAACACTGTGAATTTCACATCAATCTAGCAAACAGGAAACAATCTGAAAATGCCATCACAAACTGTACTTGGGAATCTAACAACAGGAGTGCTGACAGGAACTCTGGAAAATCATCTGCTCTAAAAATCCTCCATTTTACAAGCAAGGACACAGGCCCAGAGAAGGGAAACCACTGGCCCAAAGATTGGTGGCCAGGACCAAAGCCAGCTGTCCAGAGCTCCTCCACCAGAGTTTTCTGAGACCATCCATTGCTTTTCCATACAGACAGGTCAAATCCTAAATTACCAATAAATACTCCTTACAATAAATCTATATCCATGTCCAGAGAAGGGTCCAGAGCTAAGTTTGGATGACCAGATGATTATCAATGCTATACAATAATCTTTCCTGGACCCTGCCCTTTCATTCTTTGCAAAGAAAACCCCAGACACTGCTATCTGTACTGAACTCTATTTGGGAAAGGGGGAAAGAGGGGAGAGCTAAACAGTGCTTTGTTCTCCCAGTAAGAAGCATTTTGTTCATCCTTTCCCATAACTCCTACCCAGTCCCCAGTATTCCCAATCTCTTCAGAAAAGTTTACAGAAACTCCCCAACTATAAGAAATGAAAGCAGGTAAGAGAAAGGGCTACCAAGGTGGGTGTGGTGTGGAAGATGACAATACCTACCCATCTCTTCACCCTGTGGTGAGCATTTTACTTCAGTTGCTAATTCCCAGCAAGGAAGCCTCCAGAGCTAGCAGACTCAGGGTCCTACAGCTGAGAAATGTGCCTCTCTGCAACCCCTGGAGAACTAACCCTTTCCTAACCATCTACTCCAACAGAGCCAGAGCAGAAGGGCCAAAAGACCAACCCTTCCCTCCTTCCCCCTCAGGCTAAGAGCAGACACCAGAGCTTGCTGGTGAGGGGCTATTTAAGGAAGCATCAAGAGGGTGGGGCAGAAAATTGCTGTCAGCATCCTTGCTCTTCCCCTCCCCCTCCCAACCCAAACACACATACACCTCACTCTGTCTCTGAGGGCTGTAGATATGGAATCTCCAAATGTCCATCACGTGTTTCTGTCACTGACACTGGTGTCCCCCTCTGCTGCCCACCCCCAACTCCACCCCTCCTTTTTTCACCACCAAGCTACCTTTCCAACTAAAACTACAGAATTGAATATAAGCAGAGGAGCTCAAAACACAAGGAGAATAAAGACAAACAAGCCATCCCTAGCATTCAGTGAGAGGAAATGGGCCTAAAGGGGCTGGGGTGGGGGAGACCCAGTCAGAAGCCTGATGGCCAGATGGGTTCCAAGATTTCTAAATGAACCTCCCTCCTACTGACGGTGAATCAATTTCAGCAATTCCAGCAGGTCAGCCCTGTAACAACAGGAACATCCCAGTGCTCACTGTTTAAAACAAAAATCCAAAGGCTCAGCCAGAACATGCTGGGAAAACCCAGGGACTGGATGAAAAGAGCCACGCTCAGTGGGATCCCTTCTGCTTTTATGTTGCAGTGCAATAGCGTAATAAATTGTCTGCCTGAAGAAAGCATGCACTGGTGAATTTCAAAGCCATCTTACAACAGAGGATGCACAGGGATGCAGAATTTGACAGCATATTCCCCCATGAAAGGAACATAATGACTTTGAGCGTCCCCCCCCCCCATTTCGAATGGCGCTACCGCTTATCAAGGGCCACTTCGAAAGCAGCGAGGTGAGAGCAGGAGATACCCAGGGAATCCAGAGAAAGGAGTTGCTTTCTGTCCCTGCCGGTGATGAGCCGCCTAGCAAGATGCTGTCAGCCGCTCGAGGACACGAAGGGGCACAGCGGCGCGGCCAGAATGGGCAGGCAGGTGTCCCCGGGCGCACACACACGTACCGCTCTCTCATGCGCGTCGTCCTTGCGCCCCTCCCGCCGCCCTCTCCTCTAGGGATGCTGATGAATGGACACACCTGAGATGCCTCCGTCCTGCCGCTCGCTCCCTCCTTCTTCCTCTGGCTGCTGCAGAGGAGCCCCTCCTCGGTAGTTTCACTTTACAGCACAAACCCACCGGGGCTTTGATGTCTCCTCCACCCACCCACCTTGCAGCCAGCCAGAAACGGGCGGGTATTCCCTCCCAGCAGAGGCCATGATCGCACTACCCCACCCACAAAAAAAAAATCAATTAATGAATTAATTAATTAAAACCTAGGAGCCACCCCCCGCCCAGATCCTCCGCACCCTGGGGAACTTTCCTTGAAAACTGGGGGTCCACCAAGCAGGCAGGACGAACGGTTCGGCCGCGTGGGACCACGGCTTTCCCAGCGATCACGGGAGGATGCTCTGGAGGGGGGTACCCCAAGTCCCTCCAACAGCTGGCCCTTTAAATGCGCCTCCTCCCAGCGCGGAACAAAGGCGCCGCCCGCGGGGGCCGGGCCGACGCACACCCTAGGCGCCGCCGCCGCTGAGCGGGCAAGCGCGGCCGGGCTGGCTGCGGGCGCGGGCTTACCTTGCGGGTCGCCGGCGGAGTGCGCGCGTCCGGCCCCACTCGCACTACACGCTTCAGTCGGCCCCGTTCTGTTTTTCTGGGACTCGGAGCTGACTTCACCGACGCTCCGCCAACAGCCAATGGGCTGCGGCGCCCGCCCCCTTATTAGCATAACTCTGGAACCGTCCACTCTGGCAGCGCTGGAGCGGCAGGCGGGGCCTGGAGGCGGGGCCGAGCCGGACCGTGACAGGAAGGGGCGTGCGCTCCAATGGCAGGCGAGGGGGCGCCGGGCCACCCAGCGCCCGCTTTGTAGCCCGCGCGCGCGGGCCCGCCAGTCTCCACTGTGAAGGCGCGCGGGCCGAGTAACCCCTTCTGTCCTGCCCGGCCGAGGGCTGGGCCGGACGCAAGCCAGGCGCGCCTTCTCATCCTTCAAAGGGTGGCCCACCGGGAGCTTAGAAGGAACCTTCGGCATAAAATAACATAACAGCTGTTAAGTTATTTAACCCCTGTACCCCAGTTTAGTCATCTGTAAAATGGTATATAATATTACCAATTTCGTAGCATATAATGAAGATTAATATAGTTAACATAGGAGAAGCGTTTAGATCGGTGCCTGGCCAGCGCACTACGTACATGTTTGCTACAGTCTGTTCCAGCCAGTATGCTTAATACTTGCTAGATATTTTCTCATTCGACCTTCTTAACCTTATAAGGCAGAGTGGCACTATTACTAATCCCTGTTTTTTAAGTAGGAAAATGGGAAATAATTACTATTTTCAAATGGGAAAACTGAGATGTAATTTAAGTGGCTTGTCCGTCATCACATAGCAAGTGGTACAATCAGGATTTGAACCCAGGCTCTGAGATTTCACTCCGGCAACACACATAAATTCAAAGGGCTCCATGGCAGACATGTGCTGGGCCCTGGGAATACTGCAGAAAACAAGACAGGCAAGGCCCATCCCCTTAGGAAGCTTCCATTTTAGTGAGGGAGACAAACAAATGAATAAACAAACCAGATCATCTGCAATGAGAAGAGTAGAACAGATACCATAAAGCAGGGTAATCCCAAGTGGAGGAAAGTCACTGTGATTGGATTCAAGACTAACCACTGTCCTATGCCATCCTCCTGCCCTCTTCCAGTCCCACTCAGTACTACAGGAGAAGGGAAGTGCTTGTCCAAGGTCAAATGGCCAGCAAAGCTCCCTCCACACCCAGCTCCCTATATTCCTAAGGACATCCCTGTAGATAGGAGAGTCACCTCCCTTGGGCTGAACACAACTGATTTTTGTCAGCTGCCCTTTGCAGGATTCTTCAGCCAGAGCACATTCCCAGAGAATAGGCTGTGTGCAGCTGGGTAAGGATAGGCTTTGATGACTGCACAAGCTGATGGGAAGCTCATCTGCAAAGGTTTTGAGATGTAAGGAAACAGTGGCAAGTCTTTGCTGAGCACCTGCTGTCCTCGGCTGTGGGGAGAAATAATTAGAAGACTAGCTGTCTAGGAGCTTACTCTGTAACTGAGGAGACAAGAAACTGCTAGAGAACTAAGCAACCTAGGGAGCCCCCAGCCTACACCTTTGCCCAACCACACCTCATCCTGCAGTTTTGCAAAGAACACTTCCCAGATTCTGCTATTAACTTAGTCCAGAATCTGGCCAAGACAGTTCCTTCTGGGCCACAAGGTAATAAAAGGGCAATTATTTATTGAGTACATTTTGTTTGCTGTACACCATACTGTACTTGTGCTGAAAATTTTACATGCTTTAACTCACATCCACTGCACAACAACCCCAAGTGGGAATACCACAGTTATCCTGAGGTTATCCACAAAGGTAGAAAATAAAGGGTAGTGGCTCAAGTGGCTAAGGCGCCAGCCATATACACCTAAGGTGGCAGGTTTGAATCCAGCCTGGCCCTCCAAACAACAATGACGGCTGCAACCAAAAAACAGCCCAGCATTGTGGGGGGCACCTGTGGTCCCACCTACTTGGGAGGCTGAGGCAGCAGACTTGCTTGAGCCCAGGAGTTGGAGGTTGCTGTGAGCTGTGATGCCACAGCACTCTACCTAGGGGGACAGCTTGAGGCTCTATCTAAAAAAATTAAAAAATAATAAATAAAACAAAACAATTTTAAAATGAAAAACCAGACTATCTGTGGAGATTTGATCTGTAGTCAAGGTCATCCTTATATGTCTGTAGTCCTCAACCCCCAGGCTGTGGACTGGTACTGGTCCATGGCCTGTTAGGAACTGGGCTGCACAGCAGGACGTGAGTAGTAGCTGAATAAGAAATGCTTTATCTGTATTTACAGCTGCTCCCCATGGCTTTCATCACTGCCTGAACTTCACCTCCTATCAGATAAGTGGCAGCATTAGATTCTCATGGGAGCTCAGATCCTATTATAAACACATGCAAAGGACCAAGGGTTTGTGCTCCTTATGAGAATCTAATGCCTGATGATCTGAGGTGGAGCTGAAATGGTTATGGTAGCACTGGGGAGCAGCTGCAAATACAGATTATCATTAGCAGAGAAGTTTGCACAGAGATCATAATAAATTAGTTGCTTGCAAACTTATCAAAACCGTCCGTCCACCCCATCCATGGAAGAATTGTCTTCCTTGAAACCAGTCCCTGGTGCCAAAAATGTTGGGGACCACTGACATAAGTGGGAAACTGTCTTGAGGAATCTTACGAGACACCTAAGTCTTTAAATCATCCCTCAAATATTGAACACCCCACACACATACTGCTGGTTCCCATCTGTGTGACTTTTGCATTTCTCACTATAAAGTGTAGCATTTCCGTTAGGGTTTATGAAAGAAATGGGAAAGTACTAGAAGATCAGGAGGGAAGAAAAGAGAGGGAAAGAAAAATTCTACCATCCTTTCAAGATTCATATCAAATGACTCTTCCAACAAGTGCTCGAAATCATGGTCTTTTGACATTTTAACAATGAAAGCAACCCAAGAAACTAACAGGTATAATTGTGTCAATTCATCCCTGCCCCAGTCATTCACTGCTTCCTCTGGACAGCAGGCCCTGAGCTAGGTGCTAGTGATACGAAGGTGAGAGTGAGACCTGCTCCCTACTTCCCAAAGGTGAGCTCTGAAGAAGCAGAGGCCCAGGGAGGTTGGTATGGAACAAGGCCGGCTCTGTGGGTATGCAGTCTATGCTGAGAAGGGTCCCACACTTGGTTTCATGCTCTGCTCTCACCATCTTGAAATTTTTCATTTTTGAACAAGGGACCCCGAATTTTCATTTTCAGCTGGGCCCTATAAATTATGTAGCCTGTCCTTGGGGAGGGAAACACCAACGCTTTATCAGTGAGTCAGTGAGTAAAGCTTCAGGCTTTCCAGGCTCAAGCTCAAGATAGAGGAATGAGTCTCTTAGACCAATTTTCTTTTTTTTTTTTAATTTTTATTTATTTACTTATTTTTGCAGTTTTTGGCCAGGGCCAGGTTTGAACCCGACACCTCTGGTATTTGGGGCCAGCGCCCTAATCCTTGAGCCACAGGCACCACCCTAGACCAATTCTCAAAACTCTCATTCCCAAGTCCCTGGGGAAATAGGGAGCATGGAGGGTTCCTGCTTTCTATCCCTATAGAACTTCATTTCTTCCTTTCTCATGGAACTTGCCATATTTGGCATAAACTCGTGTATATTTGTGTGTAGTCTTATCCCTCATTCCCTCTCCCTGCCAGAGTGTAAATTCCATGAGGCTATGGCTTATGTCTGCTCATCTCAAACAGTGCTTAGTACTGTGTTTTACACGCTGTTTAAAATGTGCTTAAATTTAATTTAATCTTATTAGTAACTCCTCGTTTTCTCTTCATGTGCATCAGATTATTCCCAGCAGTCTTTCCGCTGTTGGAGAGAAATAAAAATATCAAGCAGGAGAGTCATGTACACAAACCAGTATCATAAATGTGCCACAGGAAGCATCCCCCAAGCAGGCCATAAGTGTGAGGAATTAGGTGAGAAGAGAGCAGGATTTCACAGAGGCCAACCCTGAGTCATCAGCCTGTACTTTGCTCTCAGGGTCACACAGGGTGGGAGAGAGGGAAGTTAAGGAAAGGATCTAGAGATGGCAGTAGTGTAGTGATTGGGGCTGCAGGCTCCAGCGCCAAAGACACTGGCTCCAACGCCTGATGTGGAACTCTAGTGCAGGCTTCCCACACCTGTAATGTGTGGATAACACAACCTGCTGGAGGTTTGCTTGTAAGCTATAGACAAGATCATGCATATAAAGCTCCTAAACACTGCTTGCTACTTCTACTTATGTGATATTATTATTAACATCACTAGGAGGCAATGTTGAGAAAGATGCCATCTTGTTCTTCTTTTTTTTAATAGATGGGAGTCTTGCTATTGCTCAGCCTGATCCCGAACTCCTATTCTTAAGGGATCCTCCCACCTCAGCCTTCCAAAGTGCAGGGATTACAAGCATGAGCCACCATGCCTGGCCAAGATGTCCTCTTAAAATGTATTGGTTTTGGTCATTTGTTTTCCCAGTTACCCCAAAGATTGACCATAGTTACTGTCAAAGACCCCATGCTTGGGAATACTAGGAGAGAATGAAAAAATCAAATTGAGAGAAAGGGAGTTATGAATCCAAGAGTTTGGCTGCTGCATCTCTAAAAACCCTGGTGATGATTTGTACCTGATGTCTTTCAAAGCATATTTTAAAAAGTGAAGCAACTAGTGAAAAGAGCAAAACACCCTTAAAGAACTAATTTTCTTGTTTCTTACTGATTAATTACTGAGGAAAAAAAAAAAAAAAGCAAATTTACACATTCGTGCCTGAATGGACAGAACTGATTTGAGACTGTGGAATTCCAAGGCCAAAAATTCCACATTCTTTGGAAGTTAGTGCTGGTGAAATGAGTGGAGATTGGTCAGAACATGACCCTGGGGCCAGGTAGAAAAGGAGAGGCATGGTGGGATCACTGCACGTAGGAGGCAACATAAGGATAAGTATGAACCAGTATCTCCACGATTCTGGTCCTGGGACCTCTGTTTATCAATCTAAAAACACTTGCTCCAACAATACGTAGACTTAACAGAACCTCAAATATTTT